ATTCTGTTTTTCACATGAGCTTGTTGAAGAAAGATCCTGGTCCGTCTCCCTGGAGACCATCAGTTACTCCTCCTCCACCTGTTATTTTGGAAGGGGATGAACATTTTGAGATCGCTGATATCCTTGATTGTAAATTGAAACGTGGTAAACTCTGGTACCTTATTGAATGGGTTGATTTCGGTCCCCAGCACCGCGAATGGGTGGAAGAAGGGGATATTCGGGCCCCTTACCTGATCCGTAGTTTCCACAGGAGGTTCCCGGACAAACCGGGAGGTCTCCCGCCCAGCCCGGGAGATCTCCCGCCCGACCCGGGAGGTGTGTTTTAAGATGTATTTTAAGGGGGGCAGTATGTCAGCAAGCTGCCATTCTGGTTTTGTGTGACCTCTGTGTACATATCCTTACCCTGTTGCAACCGGCTTGTTTTCTACCATCCTGCTCCTGTGCTGGAATGCATAAGATAACTACTGGAGGATGTGTGGGGGAGAAGATGCTGTAATGCTTGCCTATTGCTTTTCTCATGAGAACTGCACCTGTGTTTTGTCTGATGTTCTGCCTGGTTCCCATGGACTGGGCGCGCAACCGTTTCATTAGCCCGCCAGCGGGAATGTTGTTCATTGGATATGTATCTGTTTGAATTTCCTTTATTATGCTTGACCTATCTGTGTATCCCCAGTTCTAACAAAGAACGTGTTTGAGTATCTCTTCAACGCTTTGAAATAAATTTTGCTTTTCTTGAAAACGTGGATTTATTCTCGATGCTTGGGGATCCAACACTTGCCCAGTCCACTTCCAAAGGGGAACTGACCCTGCCCTGTAAGCCAAACAGCCAGTCAACAATGCACAACAAGCTATGAGGGATTTGGAACTGTAAAAACCAGAGGGATTGTCAAGCACCTACAGATACAAAATTTTCAGAAGTTTAGAAACCATGAAGGGGGGGCTGGCCTGTTTTTTGGGGGGGAACAGAAATTTTGGGATATTTGCAATATATACTGTCCTATCAAACCTAAACTCATTTTACTGTTTTAACAACATGAAAAGCATCTTTTATAACATACAGCATATTAGATTGCAATATTTGACATATTTATAAAATTTAGAAGTTATAAATGCCTTAGTTTTGTACAAGTAAAATTGTAAATATACCTAATACGTGAGAGAAAATTGTAAGCTGATGCACCTTATGCTATTTTATCACCAGTGCTCCCTCAAAGCTGTGGAGTCTTGTGAGCAAAAATTCTACTTTGTGAGCTCCTGGCATTAAAGTTGTGAGCAAGCAATTTGGCTCCTGCATCACTTAGTTTGCTCTGGAGCCATCTTTCCTAAGCAAAGACAAAAATCTGTGAGCAGGAGGCTAAAAAACTGTGAGCTAGCTCACACTAACTCAGCTTAGAGGGAACACTGCTTATCACATGTACCGTGATTTTTGCTGTGCGGTTTGAGAGTTCTCAATTAAACTTTTGGTTTTCCTCTGAGGCTTTGGTGCGGTTTCCACCCCACCTCCTTTTGAACTTTTTTTCCTTCCTCCTGCAAGGTAGGGCAATAAGCTACTTGTTACCGAGTCTGGGTATATATGTCATAGTGTTTTGAGGGAGAGGTGTAAAGGTCAACCATGTCAGGTCAGAAGGACAACAGAAGGCACGCAACTGTTGAGAAGCAGTGAAAGCCCCATGTGCTGCCCTCATGAAAGTTAGGTATCCTTCTAGTTGCATAAATGCATCTTGGATGCATTTCACTCATTCGAAAGGAGAAAATATTTCATCGGAGTGTTTTTCAGTACTCCCGCAAATTTCCAGTTTTTCCATTGGAAAAACTGAAAAAAGGGTCCCAGAAAAAAGGGGGGGGACACCCCTCCCCCCCTTTTTTTTCCCCCCCCCCCCCCCGGCCTTCATATCTCTATAAGCACCTGGTAAGCTCTATGGTATGCAGCTACCTTGTATATTGATATCCCACAGCCACTGTAAACATCATGGTCTTGGTGCTGTGGAAAGTGGGAGAGTTGGTGTGGAAATCTAGTGAGTTGGCAAATGGTGAAATGCATCCTCCCACTTCCTCTCCTCTGACTCTCCAGTAGTGCAAACCTCCTCCTCCTCCTTATACTGCTGTGCAGATGAGAGGCCATTGACTGGGGCTTCAGTTCAGGATGGAGCTGCAGAACGCACCGTTCCAGTCTGTATGTGATTGCCATTCTGAGAACCACACCAATTATTAAAAATGTACCATAATCCTGCAGTTGTTTATCTGATCCCATTTATTTGAGAGATACTGAGAGCTCTGAAAGATGTATGTGAATGTGGCCTCATAGGTGTACAGTTAATGGAGACTCAGGAAGCTCATGATGGATCCATTACTTGGAACCAAAGGACAGGGCAACTACTTGTGTGCCTCTAATGGGGCTTTGGGCTTTGTTTCTCAAACTGCTCCGCACTTTCCAAACGGGGAAGATTTTGAAACTTGATGCATGATTTACTAAAAGGTATTCCGGTGATTTTATACTTAAAAATCTTTTCCTCCCATGACGAGAGCAATCCCTTTCCATTTAAACATGGTGTCCTGTATGTGTGTCTCACTGCCATGTTTTTTTTTTAAAGAGTATCTATGTTCCTGACTTCTTTTTCGTTTTTCACAATAGCTCAGTCTACAGAGACCGGAGATTAAGTTAGAATCCCTGAAGGAAGACATCAAGGGATTTCTGAAGACATCAGGTTCGTGCTGTTCCCTTCATTACATTTTACGGTATTCATTCTGTGTGGTGAGTACTTGGGCCTCATCCACCTATTTAAAGTGTGCTTTACTACATATCAGTTTACCAGTGTTACTAGCTCACCTGATTTTTTTTGCTGTCAAGTTGCAGCTGACTTATGGCGACCCTGTGGGGTTTTCAAGGCCAGAGCCGTTCAGAGGTGGTTTGCCTTTGCCTGCCACTGTGTCACAACCCTGGCATTCCTTGGTGGTTTCCCATTGAGATACTAGCCAGAGTCAACTCTGCTTAGCTCCTGAGATCTGACGAGATCGGACTAGCCTGGGCCATCCAGGTTAGGGCACGTGATTTTGTACTAGCTGCTTTTACCTAGAAGAAGAATTGATGGCAATTAAAAACCTAAAACCTCCCCCCCCCCCTTCTGATTTACATCTGTTTGCCTGGTGGTGACTGTTATTTTCTATGCATGACCAGGTGAGTGATAATTTACAAGTCCATTCCGATACTGAAAGCGATTTTTGGAGATCCTTTCTTCTCCTTTGTCAGCTAAGTGGTGAGCCCGTGTCTGGGCTTTTCACTTTTCGACTGCGGATGTGGGCTGTCATTACAGAACGCTTGGCACAGAGAAAACTGGTAGTTGGGGAAATTATTTTAGCCTAGGCTCCTTGCCCACCCATCTCCGGGTTTGATGATACTGCCACCATGAAAGAGGCTGTTGCAAGAGTTCCTCTACATTCTGTTTTAATTTCAGTAGTCCATTATCAAGTAGATCTATTAAACTTAGGTTTCTAGTTGCAACTTGCTGACAACGAATTTGCAGGAGGGAACCATTTCTGGTTCTGAATTGAAGATAGTAAAGATCTCCCTGGAGATATCTTTTTCCGTCTCTTACCTTCCACCTGAAATCCTAGTTGCAGGCTTCTCTCAAGAAGAAAAAGGTTTTTATATCTCGATTTTCTCTACCTTAAGGCGTCTCAGAGCAGCTTACAATAACCTTCTCTTCCTCACCTTACAACAGGCACCTTGTGAGGTAGGTGGGCTTCAAACAGTTCTGAGAGAACTGTCACTGGCCCAAGGTTACCAACATGCTTCATGTGGAGGAGTGAGGAAATCAAACCCAGTTCTCCAGATTAGAGTCCACCACTCTTAACCACTACACCACACTGGTTCTCAATGAGAACTAGGCCTTCAAAACTAATGTGTAAGGCTAGGGTCCACATTGGTACGTATCCAGCCATACACTTCTGTCAACAAAACTAGAGGCATCAAAGTCACAGTGGACCTCCCCAGGAGGGCCCTCTATGTACTGTTGCAGCCCTCTCAGGATACAAGGGCTGGGTTTCAGAAGGGTAGGTTACAGGCAAGGTTGCAAAGAGTCACCTGGGTTCAGTCCAAAAGTCAGGGGTTCCAGAGAGCAGGTATGCCAAGTCCAGTATCGGGTCAAGGGATCCAGGCAGCAAGTCCAGTACAGAGTCAGGGGTTCCAGGCCCATAGCCCAGATTTTTTATCAGGGGGCCTTTAAATAAGTTGGGGGGCACCCCCACACACACCACTGCAGCAGCAGCGCTTTCCACCCAGCTCAGCAAAAAGTTGGGAGGCCTGGATGGTAAGTTGGGGAGGCCTGGCCCCGAGATACCCCACTGTAGCTACAGGCCTGAGAAAAGCCTATAGCCACTTCCAGTCCAAGGGTCAAGGTTCCAGTGGTCTGGTAACAGCAAGGTCAGTGGTTCAGTAACAGCGTGTACTTGTTGCATCCACAAAACTGCTGCTTCTTCTGGCTGATTTTATAGACAAGTCTTAATGAGCTACACTCCCAGCCAGTTTCTTGGCAGTCATCAGGAAATTCCTTATGCATCTCATCAGTTGACAGCTGGCAATGAGCCTCTCCTCCTCCTTTCCTGCAACTCTGTGTGCCTCAGACAGTGTTGGCTGCAGGGGTGTAGGTGAGCTAGGTGGGCTGGGAGTGTCTTCTGAAGACTTGTTTCCTGCTTCAGATCTACAAGGTGGCTCAGTTTCAACTGTAGGCTGTGACTGCTGCTCAGCTGGTAACCTGATCTCTTGTTGCTCTCCTCCTGGCTCAGAGCCAGGTGCAGCTGATTGTTCAATTACTGGCTGAGGCGATATCTACAGGCCAATTCAGTTATAAAGCAAAGAGTCTTGGATATGGAACTGCAGATCCAAATGAGTAAAATTAAGGATCCTTTATTTGATCTAGCTACTTGTAGTAAGTTGACTCTGAGAACATATGTTAAAACGCTAGAGAACGCCAAAGACAGAATAATTTTTACAATCCTAAGATATAATGCTTTGCCTTCTGCCATTTTAGAAGCAAGATATAATAAAACCACGCCAAGGGAGTGTTTGTAGAAGGGGAGAAGAAACTTTGGAACATGTGTTTTTTCATTGTAGATTATACCAGCACAATAGAGAGATATTTATAAATTCCATTATTAAATCACATCCAGGGCGTAGTAGGGGGACTCTCTTCTCAGTTATGTTGGCAGATAAAAATCAGAATATAACTCATACTAGGAAAAAGGTCCGTTGTGGAAATAAATACAGTGAGCTCTAGAAAGAGGCTCTGGGCGGGTGCCCCGGCCTTGGACACTTAGTGTCAATTTGCTGTGGCGACCTCAGCAGGGTATAATGACACTGAGTCCACCGTTTTCTCCAGAGGAACTGATCTCTGCTACCTAAAGAACAGTTATAATTTTGAGTGATCTCCAGCCCTCACCTGGAGATTGGCAACGATGGTTCCCCAGAAGGGAATGGTTGGTTTGGAGGGTGGAGTCTATGGCTTTGTACCTGTCCGAGGTCCCACGCCTCCTGAAACCTCACCCTCTCCAGGCTCCATTCCTCACATATCCAGGAATTTCCCACCTGGAGTTGGCAACCCTATCTCCTTCCCAGCCAATCATCAACCTACATTTATTTCCCCTTCACTCTTCAGCTTTCCACCCCCCACACGCCTCTCCCGTGCTCTGAAGCCCTGACTGCCACGTCACATTGGCTGTCATGCGGGGGCCACCTCAGCAGCATATAAGGATACAGAGCCCACCATTTTCTCCAGGGGAACTGATCTCTACCATCTGGAAAGCAGTTGTAATTCTGAGTGATCTCCAGCCCTCACCTGGAGATTGGACACATTTTACCTCAGAACAGCAAACTGTTTAGAATGTTAGAGGCAAAAACCAATCAAGTTGCATATGCAAACGACCTCTGTGTTCCGAGGCAAAGGCCAGTGAGGCTGCATATGCAAATAACCTCTGTGTTGTGACTGGCTATGGGGGGGGAGAGGAAGAGCAAACTGTTTAGAATGTTGGAGGCGAGACTCAAGCAATGCAGCCAGTGAATAGGGACAGATTCTGAGTGACATACCAGGGCGCCAACCAATTCTGGAGTGTGTGGAATGTTCTAGAGAAGTGTCACCACCATTCGGCTTTTATATATAAGGGAGATGGTGGCTAAATTTGGTTGGTTAGCCTATTGTATTAGGAGAGAGAGGGATCATAACTGATTGGTTAAATTGATTTTATCTGATTAGTAATGGAATTTCTAAATATTTTTAATGTTTTAATGTTTTAACATACATTGTCACATAAGGGAATTATTTTACTATTGTTCTGATTGCTGCTATATTAACTGTATTCGCTGTATTATGGTCTTTGACCGCAATAAACTACTACCTACCTACTGGCTAAGGTCTGGCTGCAGACAGCTCTTCCTCTGAGGAATCTGTGCTGTCACTGAGCACAGACTGACTTACAACACTCTACCTGCTCTCCAAGTTGCCTGCACGTTGGCATTGCAGGGAAAGATCCTAGGGTCCAATGTGCAAAAGGGGAAGTAGTCTGTCAGATGCCCCCCCAAGTTAGAGGCATCAAAGTTGCAGTGGACCTCCCTGGGATGGCCCTCTACCTGCCCTTCAAGTTGCCTGCAGATTGGGATTGGGGGAGAGGGAAAAGATCCTATGGTCCAATGGGCAAATGAAGAAGGACACTGTCAAATGCCCCCCCTCCCGCAAGCTAGAGGCATCAAAGTCGTTTCCAGAGCTGCCGAAGAGCTGTAGAAGAACATCCTCCCTGATTGCCTTAACAATTAATGCTGTGACACCAGGTTTTCTGGCCCACAGACTGCCCCATGGACTAAACAGACCTCCTGGAAAAATTCCTGGTCCACGAGCAGTCTGTTGAAAACAGTGAATGCATGGACTGGGCAAATGAACTGCGAACCACTACCCCCGGTCTGTGATGAAATTAGGTCTGTGGTCCAGTTTGTGGCCATCCCTGTGTGCCATTGCATTTGTCCTCTCTGCAGAACATGGGCCACATTTGGCCTCTTGCTGAGTGAACGTACCTGAAAGCATGCCATCTCGCTCCTTGCCTTGGTCTCTTCTGAAAAATGTCTGCTGCCATTCTCCATTGGCAAGGCAGAGAATGCCCAACAGCTGTGTTCCCAAACTGGGGGGGGGGGGACAATGACTGAGTTTTGGAAGCCTAGTGCACAAGAACACTTTCTGGGCAATCCAGTAATGATGCAATGGATGGGAAGGCAGGGAAGGCAGGGGCTGTGTAGTAGACGCCTAGGTGTTTTTTTGTTTAATTCAGCTTGCGTTAACTAGGCACAAGTTTTTCCAGCAAGGCCTTCTGAAGTTATCTTGCATAGGGAGCAGTACGCTGCTGGGCCATGAAATCTCTGCTGTACCTGGGACTCAGGGCCCTTGCCTTCTCTCTTGAAGCATATTCACTTGGAACTAAGCTCCATAGATTCCAGGGCTTGTTCTTGGCGCATGTATTTGTGCCTGTGTGTTCTGAGGAAGTGTGTTGCAGCTTGGGGCTGCCAGTCTGCTATCCACAAAACACACACTGTGGAGAAGTAATATTGAGCAGTTTGGGAGCCAAATAAGATGGTGTCTCTGGCATGCTTTTAGGAGTGGGTTCTACTTAACTTCAGATGGTGCATACTTCAAAGATTTGTGTGCCCAACTGCACTTAGGGAGGTTTTGATGGTGTTTTTATAACATGAATTCTAACCTTTATTTTCGTAACCTTTTGTTTTAACCAGGATGGGAAAAGAAGCTGCAGAATGCTGTTTATAGTGAACTCAGCGTGTGAGTTTGTTTTCTTTTTTGTCTGCATTCTTTCCTGTGATAGATTAAATATTGCTGGTCTTCATATGTGCGTGCAATACTGATGATATCGCTTGATGCTGACTTCAAAGACAGTTAGTCATACTTCTGCTATCGGCAGCCCACTGTAAATTCTTCTTGTCTGTGGAAGAGAACCGCCCATAAGATAAAACATTAACAAAGACAATACTGCCTTCTTGTTTTTCACCTCCTCAAAAATGGAGTTTTCCCAGTGGACATAAGTCTGGTCTTTGATTTGATAGGTTTGGATGAACCCTTGCTGTAACAGTAAAGGTTCCCTTGCTCGAAAGCCAGTCGAATCTGACTCTAGGGTTGTGGTGCCGAAGAGCCAGTGTTGTCTGAAGACATTTCCGTGGTCATGTGGCCGGCATGACTAAACACCAAGGCGCACGGAACGCTATTACCTTCCCACCGAAGTGGTACCTAAGTATATATAAAAAGCCTGAAATGATCTGTCACGACGGGATATACACTCGTCTGCAATGGACAGTACTACTTAATAAGTCTAATAAATTTGTTTTTTGCCCCTTTAGTGCAGAGATAAGCACAGGATTTGAATGGTTCATGTGGGCGTTTCCCAGTCCCGGTAGCCATGGATTATTATTTTATTTTTTTGGCCAGCTATCTGATTGCATTATCTCTGAAAATGATTGCGGTGATGAATAACAATTTGATCGACCTTTGTGATCTCTCTCTCTCTCTCTCTCTCTCTCTCTCTCTCTCAAGGTTCCCTTCCCCGTGCCACCCGTCAGCACCCCCTGAGCACATAAAGGAATCTTTGGCTTACATGAGGAAAGCCCAGGTTGGCTGTGATTAAGTTTGACTATTTGTTATGGCAGTATGTATTGGAGGAAGAGCCCGTTAAGTTTGAGGGTCGATCCGGCACACTATTTGTGCAGTTTTGGTTAGATGTTTTGTCTTCCTACGTCCTTATCTATCCTCTGCTCAGTTGCTTAGACAGTTGAGTCTATGACCAGAGATGTAAAAGGCCTTAACGGTCAACCGAGGATCCCTTCTTTCCCTCCTCTCTTACACTGTGGTTAATGTACATTACTACCATTCGGGAGAGAATATCTTTCTCGTCTTCAGTGCCCATGTAAACCAGTATTCCCTCTAAGCTGAGTTCGTGTGAGCTAGCTCACAGTTTTTTAGCCTCCGGCTTGCACGTTTTCATCTTAGGTCAGGAAGGATGGCTCCAGAGCAAACTGATCAATGCAGTAGCCAAATCGCTCTCTCACGACTTCAATGCCAGTAGCTCACAAAGTAGAATTTTTGCTCACAGGACTCCACAGCTTAGAGGGAGCATTGCCTGTAGCCCCTCCAGCTAGTATGGGAGAAGGGATTCCCGCTGGGGCTTGCCCTGGACACTGGCCTGGAATGCCCTGAGATCAGGAGAAGCTGAAAGGTTTGCAAAGCCTTTCCCAAAGTCATTCTGCTCTGTGGTAGGAAATAGAGGCAAGTGGCAAATCCCTTCTTACCTCCCCCTCCATTATTCGTTTCAGTCAGTGCTGCCATTCATCATTTAAAGTGATTAATCGTTTCCTCTTTGCAGTACCAACATTTGCTGTTTTTTTCTTTATGAGCTGCTTTGGGTCCTGCGATCCCGCCCCCTCAGGAATGAAAGAGAAGGCGTACCATTGCCCCTCAGAGAAAATGAATGAAAGGGCCGCACCAGTCACTAGAAGATTTTTAAAAATGGCCAGGGCTGATGGCACAAAATAAAGTAAATAGAGGCCCGGTCACACGGGCCGGATATCACAGGGGGGAGGCGTGGCTGTTTGCCCCAGAGCTAACTACTGTGCGGCAGCCGGATCAAACGTCCTGCCCAACGTCCCGCCGACATCCCGTGGTTGGGGGGAGGTGCCGATCATACCTCACTCCTGTGGCGCGGCAAAGAAGCGGCACTGCGGGGGTTGGGTTTTTTTTTTAAACCTAAGTGTTCGCATGCGCCGTTGGGTGCTTGTGTGCACCCGTAGAGACTTGACAAAAAAAAACCCTTTTCGCGACGGGTTTCGCCCGCCCACGTTTCGCGACATGGGCGGGCGCCGGATGCCACAAGCTACCACCGGAAACGTGATCAGACGCCCGCCCTTGCCCCACGGTTTCCGAAAACTAGTACCTCGGAGGTACTAGTTTTTTACAGCGCATCTTCAGCGGGAAGCCTCGGGTTAGCCACGGGAGCTCTACGCTTCCCAGATGTTGCGGTGAAAATCCGCCTATCTTCCGTCTCTGTAGTGTGGCTAATGCTCCGTGTGATCGCAGCCATATTTTACTACTCAGTCAAAATCCCTCTGCATTTCACCAACAGGCTTCTTCAGGGGGAACTTGTTAGTCTGGCCGTGTTCCTTCAACAAGACTGCAAGAGCATGCTGCTTTTGGAAACTGTAACCCAGGTGCATCTTTTAGGGCACACCAAATTGCAGGCTCATGGACATATAACCTAATATGAACAAAATATGTACCATGAGATGGCAACAAATATGCACAGACTCTTCTTTAAATGTACTTATAAATAATGTAATGGTGCTCAATAGACTTGTATTACATACAGTCCTTGTTATTTGTATAAATACAAGCACTACAAAAGGCAATATTGTCTACTTACAACAACCCACTGAAACAAACAACAGCATGTTCTATTACACAGTGCAGCATGTGAAAGATTCTGATGGGGTCCCGGTTTACTTTCAGCCCGTTTCTTTGTCTTTATCAAAGAATCCTCACACATAAATTCTACATAGATGGAAGACATCTGAAATTACTTCAGTGGCATATTGCTCCTAATCAGGGGTCGTATGGGGCCAGAGCGCGCCGGGGCACCGCTTCAGCAGCCCAGAAGCGGGCACAAATGGTGGTGGCGGCAAGCCCCGCCTCCAGCTCCCCACCCCCATGCTCCTTCTTTCCAGAGTCGCGCCGTAGCAGCCCCATAGAATAAAATGGAAAGATCGTAGCAGCCCCATAGAATACAATGGAAAGATCGCACCGCAGCGGTGGCACGACTCCATAGACAAGGGGCTTAAACTTTAAATCCGTCTCTCTTCGCTCCCCCCCCCTGCCTTGGCAGGCCAGCTGGGGAAGCAAAAAAGGGGAAGGAGGCATCTTCAAAAGCCTCCCCTTCCCTTCCCCAGCCGGCCTGCCAAGGTGGGCTGGGGGGGGGAAGGGGAGGCTTTTGAAGATGCCTCCCCCCCTTTTTTGCTTCCCCTTCTGACATCACGTCTGGTGATGTCAGGTGGCATGGCATATGCTAATGAGCTATTATGCTAATAGCCTATTAGATATGCTAATGAGCTCCTGCTGCTCTTTTTCTACGAAGTGACCCCTGCTCCTAATATGAATTATGCTCCTAATATGAATATGCCACAGAAGTAATTTCAGAAGGGGGGCTGTTGAGCCGCATAGTGAGTATCTCGACTTCGGAGCAGCAGAAGCCCGGCTTTCCCCCTCTGTCCTTTCGAGAGGCATACAGGAGGACGGCCCTTTAGGCGAACATCTGAAGTTGTGAGGCTTGCAGATTTCTGCCGCTGGACTAGAGCTGGGGGAGGGGGGGCTGCCTGATGCAGGGTGAACAGAGCCAGTTGGGGGTGGGGGGGAAGCTGGGAGGGAGTCATCAGGAAAGAGATGGCAATGTTTAGCTCCCTCTAAGCTGCAGAGTCCTGTGAGCAAAAATTCTACTCTGTGAGCTACTGGCATTAAAGTTGTGAGCGAGCAGTTTTGGCTACTGCATAAATAAGTTTCCTCTTGATACACAAATCTGTGCTCGTGTGCTTCCGGGGCCGAATTGGAAACACAGTCAGAGTCCAACGGGTTAGATGAATATTGGTTTATTGCAATGAAACAGGATCAATAAGAAAACCTCCCTTAGTATAGTAAGACCTCAAAACAGACCCCACAATCCTTGTCGTAGATGTTTTTACTGTGGCAATATGAGCATTCCAGTTCAGATTCTCTCTAAATGTAATTCATAAATAATTAAAGGATCTACACTGATTTATTGAATTGCCAAGTATGCTCCAGGAGGATATTTGAGCCCTTTTTCTAAAGACCATCACTTTGGTTTTTTCAAAGTCAGTATAGATAATCATAACCTCAGAGCAGCTTTCACATCTTTGCGTTTTGAATCAATGCCAATGGCCGTATTAGCTGGCCGCTATAGTAGAACACCTAAGGAACAGCGCTTTTGTATTTGTGACTCTTCTGTTATTGAGGATCTTCCCCATTATATCCTTGAATGCTCAATGTATACCCAACCTAGGTTAAAATTTCTTATCAGACTTAAGCTTTTATTCAGACTCTGAGAAGACTCTGAGAAGATTGTATTTTTGTTAACTGATTCCAATGCCAATATATCCTATAGAATGGCTCTATTTGCCTTGGATGCAAAGAACATACGGGCCAACGCTGTTCTTATGGGAACTAGTTAATATTGATCTTAGTGGGTACGTTTTGATTCAATTAATTGCTTATAACTTCGGTTTTATGGTTTTACTAGCAGTAAAGCCCGTTGTGAAAGCAATACAACGAGATCTAGAAAGAGGCTCTGGGGGAGTGCTCTGGCTTTGGGCAAACAGTGTCAATTTGCTGTGGTGACCTCAGCAGGGTATAATGACAGAGTCCACTGTTTTCTCCAGAGGAACTGATCTCTGCTACCTGAAGAGCAGTTGTAATTGTGAGTAATCTGTAGCCCTCACCTGGAGATTGGCAACAATTGTTACCCAGGACAAAATGGCTGGTTTGGAGGGTGGAGTCTATGGCATTCTACCTGTCTGAGGTCCCACCCCTCTGCAAACCCCACCCTCTCCAGGCTCCACCCCTCAAATCCCCAGGAATTTGTCAGCATGTAGTTGGCAACCCCATCTCCTTCCCAGCTAGCCACCAACCTACCATTATCTGCCCCTTTGACTTCAGCTGACTTCTGCCCTCCCTTCTGCAGAACAGTTGTAATACTGAGTGCTCTCCAGCCCTCACCTGGAGATTGGCAACAATGGTTCCCTATGTGAGACTGACTGGTTTGGAGGGTGGAGTCTATGGCAGTGTACCTGTCTGAGGTCCCACCCCTCCTCAAACCTCACCCTCTTCAGGCTCCATCCCTCAAGTCTCCAGGAATTTCCCATCTGGAGTTGGCAACCCTATCAGGATTGGCCCCAATGTGTTTTCTCCCAAAGGCCAAAGTAGGTGACAGGACCAAGCTTAGTTGCCTACCAACAGGCACTGAGGGGAATGTAGGGTTGCCAGCTCTAAGGAGGGAAATACCTGGAGGTTTGGGGGGTGGATTCTGTAGAGGGCCGGGCAACGGAGGCATCGGCCATGGTCCATAATCCCCCAGGCAGCTTTTAAAACATGATCCTGGGACCTACACACCACCAGACATTCCAACTGCCTTGGGGGGGGGGAGTATGAGGTGTGGAATGGAGTGAAGTCCAATCAGCTTCCATATGCAAAAGACCTTGAAGGTTCCATATGCAACTGACATTCCAACTGCCTTGCGGGGAGGGGGGTGAGTTTGAGGTGTGGAATGCAGTGAAGTCCAATCAGCTTCCATATGCAAAAGACCTTGAAACACTGGGCGGGACTGCACAAAGCAGCCAGTCAACCCAGCCAGCGTCTTCTGACTGACAGTTCAAGCGTCCATACACTAAAGGAGTGCATTTTAGAACTTTGGCACCCACTACTCAATTATATATAAGGAGAGATAATATCTTAGATTTTACTCAATTTTATACCATTATTCATGTTTACAGTATTCCTCTCTGCTGTTATCTTTGGTTTGTAATAGCCTATGGCTAAATACAATAAATTTTAATT